CAGATGGGCACATAGCTAGGTGTGCTTCCTGAAGATACTTAGTCAGATGGGCACATAGCTAGGTGTGCTTCCTGAAGATACTTAGCATATGGGCACATAGCTAGGTGTGCTTTTACAGGCACTTTGTATATTGGCATATGCAAAACATTGAGGCCAGACAAGGTGAACCTAAACACGACTATGGTTGTGTCTTTTTTTAAGTAACCTCCCCCCAAATTCAACCCAAAATGAAACTTGCATTATAGTATCTGGTAATAAAACAGATAAATCCTGTGACCAAAATATTAATTTCTTGTTTTTTGGAAAAACAAATAATTTACAAACGCTTGTATTTGATATTTGTATGCAATTTAGGACAACTGTTCAGGCCCTGTGAAGGATATACAATTTTTGGCATAGATAATCACATATTGCCATTACAATATAATATCTGTAGATAATGGAAAAATGTGGGAGGACGGGCGAGCATTGGGTAATGGTTTTAATTTATTCTACATATTTTCGTGTTTTTTTTCATATATTTAGCAAAGACTCCAAAAATGACAATTTTTTTTTTAAAAAAGATTTTGTACAAAAATAAAATGTATCAATGCCCCATAAAAGAGAAACTGTTGGTGTCCGCAGCAATATTCACAGTATGTATAAATATTTGAAAAAGTCACATGCTCATAGAGCATTTCATATAACTATTTACACGCGCTGCACCAACAAGTTACAACACACTTAGCATACTTATGCTTCCTTTCTTTTGACTTTTTCAAAACTTGTACGAGTTTCCCCTCCCAAATAGCCATCATCCATAACTTAGTACTCATGTACATCAAACACTATATAGATATGTCCAGGCACTGACAGCAGTCCTAGATTATTAGTATGCATATTCACATTACTGAACAAGAGTCTATAAATTCAACATTTCATTTTTAAGTACAGATGGCAGTTTGGGCGGGGTATCTCATGATTGATCTCAAATTACAAGCTAAAGAGATGTAATTTTCAAGGTGGTTAATTTGTCGACTGGGCGGGGAAACAATACTTATTTTTTTTTTGCCGATACTATATGGCTGCAAACGAGCACTAAAGCTTACTATTTTGTCACATCACAAAAACCAATTTTTCACTTATATAAACACCTAATTTTCTTTTTTTTTTTGCTTATAAAGAAATTGCCAAACACTAAAAAACAAGTGATAATACCAACTCGTATAATCTGCCTCTGTTTGATTGGCCAAAAATGTTATACAATTGCCAAAAAAAAATTTAAAATTAGTTGCTACTATATTTGTGGTAGAATAAAGTAAGCAACAATTTCATAGCTACAAGAGAAAATTCTGAAACCAAGATATTTTTGAATGATTTCCCAAAATGGTGTAATATTCTTTGCAACTTTATTACTAAGGCAGACTATGGTAGGCGAGCTACAAGGGGTAAAGAACCAATGAATGCATTAAGTGTTTTTAATGGCTGAGTGTGTTGTAACCTGTTGATGCAGCTATAAAATCTAATAATCATCAAAGTCGGCGAACTCATCATCGTCTAATTCTAACTGTTGAAAGTCTACTCTGTATCGGAGAATTCCACCAATACCTCCAAAACCCTTACAGAACTGAGAGCCTTCCTGCGACTTGTCTGTGATAATTTCTAAAGTGGCACCTATAATGAAATCAAAAGTTTAGTTAACACATCAGGCAACCATTTTGCACAAGCTCTATGCACAACATTTTTTTCTGTAATACAACTATGTGAAAAAAGTAAAGCCATAATTTATGTGATGATGTGGAGATTCAGCAATAATAACGTGGATAAGAAATGCGGCAACAAAGATCATGCCATTGTGGTAACCAATCACAATACAGCAATGTGCGAATACAAATAATAGTAAAGACCTTACCAAATGTTTTATAGTTGTTTGCCAGCCATTCCAAGAGTGGCAGTGAATCAACTAACTCCAACTCAACCCCAGTCTGTAATAAATAAATAACACCATTAACATCTGATACTACAATAATATTGTACTACTTTTTGTCATCGGACCTATTCTTGCCATTGCTATTCCTGTAAATTCACACTCGTTTCATTGTGTATGTCGATTAATAAATCACTACACTTTATAGAAATTATCATGTAAAGACCAGACTGAGTACATGAAATCCTGTAAACACCACACTGAGTACATGAAATCATGTAAACATCACACTGAGTACATGAAATCATGTAAACACCACACTGAGTACATGAAATCATGTAAACATCACACTGAGTACATGAAATCATGTAAACACCACACTGAGTACATGAAATCATGTAAAGACCACACTGAGTACATGAAATCATGTAAAGACCACACTGAGTACATGGAATCATGTAAAGACCACACTGAGTACATGAAATCATGTAAACACCAGACTGAGTACATGAAATCATGTAAACACCACACTGAGTACATGGAATCATGTAAACACCACACTGAGTACATGAAATCATGTAAAGACCACACTGAGTACATGGAATCATGTAAACATCACACTGAGTACATGAAATCATGTAAACACCACACTGAGTACATGAAATCATGTAAACATCACACTGAGTACATGAAATCATGTAAACACCACACTGAGTACATGAAATCATGTAAACACCACACTGAGTACATGAAATCATGTAAAGACCACACTGAGTACATGGAATCATGTAAAGACCACACTGAGTACATGAAATCATGTAAACACCAGACTGAGTACATGAAATCATGTAAACACCACACTGAGTACATGGAATCATGTAAACACCACACTGAGTACATGAAATCCTGTAAAGACCAGACTGAGTACATGAAATCATGTAAACACCACACTGAGTACATGGAATCATGTAAACACCACACTGAGTACATGAAATCCTGTAAAGACCAGACTGAGTACATGAAATCATGTAAACACCACACTGAGTACATGAAATCCTGTAAAAACCACACTGAGTACATGGAATCATGTAAACACCACACCGAGTACATGAAATCCTGTAAAGACCACACTGAGTACATGGAA